CATGAAAAAGGGAACAAATCAAACACTTTATTCAGATAATTTTATCATTTTACGACCTATGGGTGCAGATTTTCCTTTCACCGTGCGGGTCATTGACTTCTTCACGCCCGCCGATAGAAACAACAAAAAAAACAAAAAATAGACACCAGCCCACCCAAAACGGGCCAATTAAACTCCCATCCTTCTCCTGCTCCAACCTCTCCACATTTTATTTCCTCGAGGATGTTCGCGGGTCCTGAACTATGTCGGCAGCAGCGGCATTCCTCGAGCTTCCATTTACCGGCCGTAATCTCCCCTGGCCAGGCGGCAGGCGGTCGGGCTCAGGACCAGCGGGCCCGGCCGGGCCGCGCAAGACGAGATCCCCGCCGCCGTTTGCTTACATGAGCCGGGCGGAATGAGGTGCGATACAGCGTTGTAGAACAAAGCGGGGGCCCCACAGGTAGGGACAAGAGACAGCCAGCTCCAGGTGTGAGGGCGCGGGCGCGCGCGCGTGGAGGTGCAAGAGACACCTTGCTGCAGGTGTGAGGATGGCGCGCGCGCCTGCTGGTAGGTTCAAGAGACACCTTGCTCCAGGTGTGAGGGCGCGCGCCTGTAGGTGCAAGAGACACCTAGACACCTTGCTGCAGGTGTGAGGATGGCGCGCGCGCCTGCTGGTAGGTTCAAGAGACACCTTGCTCCAGGTGTGAGGGCGCGCGCCTGTAGGTGCAAGAGACACCTAGCTCCAGGTGTGGGCGGGTACAAAAGACACCTTGCTCACCTTGCTCAAGGTGTGAGGGCGCACGCGCTGGTAGGTGCAAGAGACACCTTTGCTCCAGGTGTGAGGGCGCGCGCGCGCGCTGGTGGGGCCAGCGGCGGCACAAACCTTAAACCTACAGCACTAATGTGTCGGTGGGAAGAAATCCTCCGTATAACTTATATGCCCGTGTAACACCGATAGCTCGCGCCAGTCAGATCTCGTGCCCTGCTCCCCCGCAGCTGAGCACACCCGGAGGATCAGAAGAACGATAATGGATCCCCCACACACGTAAAACAAACCGACTCGATTTTACCTGACCGCTCCTTCTCATTCCCACCCCACACTGGCCTTCAGGCTCCTTGACAGCTCGGCCCAGCCCTGCCCTCTGCCCGCCCCTTGGGGACCCCGACTCCTTTCTTCCCGGTGCAAACACCTGAGCTGACGAAGGCTAGGCCGACTGAATACAGCCAAAACTGTTCTAGACCTTTGCCCACGCCCGTCGAAAATCCAATAACCAAGAGATTCCATCGGGGGGAAAGCACCTCCTAGTCATAATAAAAACCAGCCGTGGAACGGATACCGCGTGTTCCTTCCTACAGTTTTATCGGGCCCAATCTATTAATTTCGCCTTCTGAGGTAATAATGGCTGAGGTTTCCTGGGTTCGTAAGTGCGCCGATGGCCGGCAGGTAGGCCAGCAAACCGCCTCGACTTCTTCGGGGGCGTGGTTGCCGTCGAGGTCTTTTCGACACCACCCTTTAACGAGCCCCCTTTCTGACAATTATTTCGCATAAAACGGTCATTTTATATGGTCCGTTCCCTCTCTTCTCGGGCGGGCGAATTGGCGGGAAATAATAATACCACCGCGACACCGTCCATCTAATGTCCATCTCAAACCACATTTATAGACGTAACGAGGTGTTCACGCCCGCTGGGTGGGCCGGGGCAGCACCTGCGGCCCAGACACCATTAATAACCCATAACCGCAGCCCTTCCACGAACTAAGTGGGCCGAGATTGATCTGGTGCGCTATGGGCCACCGGCATCATCATCACGAAAATTATTTCAGAAGAGTAATTCAATTAATCTGACTCGCGCAGCAGCATCCATCCAGGAGGGCTGGACATCGCCACACACCGCACCGGACGCACTCGAGATAAAAAGATGTGGAGCGAGCCGAGAGAAAGAGGCGGAAGTAAAGAGATAAAAAAGAAAAAACGAAAACTCGAACGAAACTATCTCCACGGAGATTTGAACCGCGGCGGCGCGGCGGAGGGCCTGCAGCGGCCAGGCTCAGGACCCAGGCCACGGCAGCAGTGCCCTTTCAGGCCCAAATGGATGGCCAGGGTTGTCCAGGAGCGAGCCGGACTGTGTCGTGCCGCGGCGGGGCGGGGCGCAGCGCAGCGCGCCAACAGAGTAGCTCATTCATTAGACGAGGCCGTTGACTCGCGAGGCCTAACAGCGTGTGTGTGTGTGTGTGTACACCGGGTGCGCGGCAAGGACGAAGGGTCGGAGGACCTGTAACGAAGGACGAAGGAAAGGAAACAACAAACCAAGAGAAATGTAAGGGCCGTCGTCGTGACGGTGAGGAGAGAGAGAGGGGAAGGAGTGGGGGGTGGGTGCCGTTAGCGCGGTAACCCCGAGCGAGCATCCAAAACTCGAATCCGCTGGCTGCTGCAGCAGAGCCGAGCAGAGCGGCCCCGCAGCGCGGCCCCTCCTCCCCTCCACGCCGCGCGCCCTGGGCGGCCGGCCCGGGGCCTCCTGGACCTCGCCTGGACAGGAGCTGGTTTGGGGCCCGGCGTGCCCGGCGAGGCCCGGAGCCACCTCGAGCATCAGCAGCAGCGCCTCGTGCCCGCCCGGAGCACCTGGCCGAGTTCTGAGGAGCGGTGCGGGACGAGCGGGACAGACAACTGACGATGCAAACACGACTGCTTCAACTTCAAAAAGAGTCACACAAAAACAGCGCGAAGCTCTCCAAAATCACTTTTAAGGCAAGAAACAAGAAAAAGAAGTATTGTGGGAGATGCTCTGGGCAAGTTACTGAACATTCCCAGAGTGTGAAAAACCCCGACCAAAAAAGAGGGCAGCGGGCGGCGCCGACAGAAAAAGAACGGGAGACAAAACGTCGATAAATTACTCGAAAAAGGCTTTTCCTCTCCAAGACAACACGACTGTAACGAGGGCGGCCCCTCTGGAGCGCATGTGGCGTGTGTGTCAGAGCGAGAGGGAGAGAGGGAGGGAGGGAGAGAAGGGGAGGCGGGGAGAGGGGGAGGGCTGAGGGAGAGAGGACGGAGGGAGAGAGGGCGGAGGGGGAGTCGGTCTGTGTTCTTGTTTACCTATTAGTCTGCAGAAGCGCGGTCTCCAAAGAGGGGAAGAAATGGAAACAAGATGGATGGTTGGATGGACCTGATTATGAAAAATAAATCGGTAAATACAGTGAGACTGCCAGTGGGGGACCCCGGGCCCGCCCCGCCGTGAGAAGATGGAGCGTGGAAAATGTATAGTATTGGCGCGAGGGCGGGGAGGGAAGGG